AAGCTCTGGTTCTGCGGCAGGCTCAATCCGCTCGTAAATTGAAGCCACGATTCTGGCAGCAGCGAGAGCATCTTCAAGCACTTGGTCTGCTCCGGGTAGGTGATTCCCGCGGTCGCCAACTTCGCGTAGAGGTCGCGCATCTTGTCCAGGACTGGTTGCACCGGCTCTCCCTCGCTCAGGCGCAACGCGGACAGCTCCCTCTCCAGCATCAACGTTGCGACAACGGAGGTCGGGGCGTGCAGCTCCTTCAACACGGTCCACGCCTTCGGACCGCATTCAACCTCCGGCAGCAGGTGCATGACGTGGTGACGCTGGTTCAGCTCCAAACTCTACGACATCAAATAGTAGCCAGCCGAGGAGCGCTCGTCCCAATCTTCCTGCAGCGTGGGGTCACTCGGTCTAGGCTCCTCCCCAATCATTAGTTTCAGCAAACCGATCTGACGGAAATATAATTGCATTTTCCAGGCCCAATCATCATAGCCCTCACCATTGAACTTCTCGACGGTGAAATTCTTCAGCACCTCCTTGACAAGCGAGCCCTGGTTTGTTCGCGCTCCCCTTGGCGCTGAAAGACCAGAATCTTGGCTGCCGCTACGATCTTGGGCTGAAGATTCACCAGCTCCCGCCGAGGTGTTGCCCGCCATAGCTACCTATAACGAGGATCACTATAACGCGGCTCTGATACCAGCTTGTTGGTGTAAGGGCCTAATAAACTCAAGCTATTAGGACTTAATCAAACTTAAAACCTCTCCTCGGGGTCACCTCCAAGGGTCCCTGGGTGCCTGGTATAAGACCAGCCCCTATCCTCGGGTCCGAGTTTGTAGAGAGAGGGATCAAGAAGGACTTAGTCAAAACAGCAAGAGTACCTTGAACGTCGCGCAGCGTGCCGTGCAGACCGTCGATCGGATTAAGCTGAGAATTCGCTATATCGAAGCTCGCTCCAAGAGCTTTAAAATGAGTCAAGTTGCCTCGCGAAAAGTTCTGCCATTACGAAGTTATGGCTCAGACGGTGTTTGCCTAGCATTAGAGTGCTAGCGTACTAGCGTTGACTCGGGTAGCATTCCGCCAACGAACCGCGTAGAAACAAAATTCCAGCGAGGAAGGAATTCACATGAATCAATTTGACTATATACAGGTACAAACAGAGAAGGATTAAATAGTTCTAGCTAGCAAGGACCTTGGGAATCAACCTGGGAACAACCAGGGATGATCCCAAATAATTCCAAGCAACAGAACCAACCTGGCTGGACAAAATAGCAGGTGGTAGGTTGGTAAACAATCTCTGGTTCTGTTTTTCCAACCTGGGAAAACAACAACCAGGTTCAGGTTCTAAAAACAGAACCTGTTTTGTCTTTGCCCAACCAGCCAAATGCTGGTTCCGCTGGTTTCCCCTGGCCTTGTAGCATGCAGATACAGACAAACAACATCCAACCTTCACCTAAATTGTACCCCTATAGTGCCTTCCCTGCTACACTATAGTTAACCAAACAAAACAGTACAATTTCGAGTTGGATAGAACTGAATCTGCGCAATCAACTCAACCGAACTGCAAAGCTTCCATCTTGGGTTCCTTTGCGAGCTCGTCCTTTCTGCTTGCATTGTTCATAGCGCGTACAATGTCGTGCCGAAGCGCACATTGCGCGAGTACCTGCAAATGCATCAAGCGAAAATTGCGAAAGCAAACAAACACACGAACATTCCATTCACACCCAAATGCATTCGCACACGCATACTCGTACAAACAGACGGCAGGATGTCGTGCAATGTGCATTTGCACCCAACAACGACTTGGTCGACCGCGCTCCAGCAGTGCAGAGTCGTGGCTTGCCAACACTGCAGGTCGACGGCGTGCCAACATCGCAGGTTGACGGCGCGCCAATGTTGCTCCCGCAGGACAGCAGCGCACCTACTTCGCAAGTGATCGCAGATGATTGGCGTGCAGTGCCTTGTCACCTGCACAGCGCACACACCACATCAACTTCGTGCTGACGACTGCTTCTGATCCACCACGTCGACCTCGGGCATTCATCACCGAAACCACCTGGGCGACTATTGGAAGCCTCTGCAGCACCTCGTCACCCAGGTAACCTGGTCGACCGGGCAACCAGGTCGACCAGTAGCTCCTGTATGTGCTCAACGACCTCCCAAGTCGACGGCCACCTCCAGTCGACCTCCCCAGGTCGACCACTACCCCCTGGTCGACCAGCTCCAGGTCGACGTCACTCCTGGTCGACCAGCCACGTTCGGTCGACCACCAGGTCGACCAGAAGGCCTGGTCGACCAACCAGGTCGACCAGAAGGCCTGGTCGACCAACCAAGACGACCAGAAGGTCTGGTCGACCAACCAGGTCGACCAGAAGGTCTGGTCGACCACCTGAAGTTGGCGCCCTCCCGAAGTCGGTGCCCTGGCCGTGGCTCCCGTACAGGTCGACCAACCTCGTCGACCAGCTCGCCCACTGCTACAGGTCGGCTGCACCCCTACACCCGACCACGAAGTCGGCTCCGCCCAAGCAAGGAGGGAGCCAACACACAATTCCCGTTGACACTTCCCTGCCACGTTCACGCTTGGGCCCCCAACGGACCAGGCAGTACTACTCGGAGAAAAGCTCGTAGACGTGCTCCCAACACACCGCACGTCGTCCACCGCACCAGCCATGCAGGAGGGCATGGCACCTACTGCTGCACGTCGTCGTCGCCGTCGCCCACGTCGGCCAGACGCACTTGGCCGATTGCAACGGAGCACCGGTTGAAGGCCGGATAGTGCAGCGCCTTCGTTAGGAAGTCGGCCGGCTGCTCAGCGGTCGGAATGTACTGCAGCGAGAACTTCCCCCGCTTCACCATGTGTTGCAGCCAGGCCTGTCGCTGCTCCATGTGCTTGAGGTTGCCCGTCAACCCCATGCCCTCGGCGACTGTGATGGCCGACTTGTTGTCCACCCTGAGGACAGTTGGCTTTCCAGCGTCCAGCTGCTGGAACTCTGCTAGGAGGAAGCGAAGTCGGCGTCCCTCCTTGCCGGCTTCGACGGCCGCCACGTACTCCGACTCGGTCGACGACAGCGTCGCGCACTTGATGCGCTGGCTCGACCAGGAGACCGCAGCCCCTCCGTAGAAGAACACATAGCCGCCTGTGCTCGTCCGGCTCTGCTTGTCGCCGGCGTCGTCGGCGTCCACGTAGCCGACCAGCTCCAGCGACTCAGGTCCACCGCCAAACTCCAGGGCGGTGTCACGCGTGTTGGCGAGGTAGGCGAGGCAGCGGTCGACCTCGCGCCAGTGCTGGTCGCTCCTCACCGTGAGGCTGCTCCCCAGCTTGCTGCAGGTGAAGGCGATGTCCGGCCTCGTCGTCGTCGCCGCGAACTGCAGCGAGCAGACCTTGTGCCGGTACTCCTCCTCCTGTCGCTCCTGCGCCTCCTCGTCGTCGAAGGTGAGCTCGGCGTAGGCGTCGACCGAGACTGGCGTCTTCGGAGTCCGACCACCTTGCTCCTCGTCAATGAAGCGCTTACGCAGCTTGTCGGCGTAGCCCCTCCCCACTGCTCCCCTCATCGCCGGAGGCCGACGCCGGAGTCAGCCCATGCAGGTCGGCGACGAGGGGAGGGGCAGGAGAGGGGGAGGAAGGGTGGACGACCTCGGCGTCCTCATCAGCAAGCTCACCGACCTCGGCGAGCAGAGGCAGCGTCGCCGCCGAGGTGTCGGTGGGCGGGGTGGTCGGCTTCCGTCCGGACACCGGCCCGTGCTCCGACTTCCACACCTCCAGCGACAAGTCTTCGTCTAACACCACGTCCGACGTGGTGACAACCCGGTTGTCGGCGATGTCGAGGAGCTCCCAGCCTCCGACCTGGCCTTCGGCTTCAGCTTCCCAGCCTTCTGCTTGCACTGTTTATAACGCGTACAATGTTGTGCCGAAGCGCACATTGCGCGAGTACCTGCAAGTGCTTCAAGCGAAAATTGCGAAAGCAAACAAACATACGAACACACCATTCACACGCAAATGCACTCGCACACGCATACTCGTACAAACAGACGGCAGGATGTCGTGCAATGTGAATTTGCACCCAACACACTCCCCCTCAGCCTGCCGGCTGCATTCCCATCATTCCATGCTAGTTCATGCTCATTCCACTCATGCGCACACAATGCCAATGAGGCTCATCCGCAAGCCTCTTGGTGAGAAAGTCTGCTGGCTGCTGGTGAGTCTTGATGTAAATCGGATTCACCGTCCCCCTCTTCACCTCCTTACGCAGCCAGTGCCACTTGATACGCATGTGCTTGTTCAGCCCATGAAGCACAGCGTTCCTGGCCATCCCAAGAGCCCCCTTGCTGTCACAAAACAGCGGCGTAGCAACCTTCTGCTCCTGGCCAATCTCCTCTAACAACCTCCTCAGCCAAATCACCTCCTTCACCCAGTGGAACATTGCCATGTACTCGGCGACGCTCGCACATGTCGCCCGGGTATCCCGGTCGACCGGGCAACCCCGCCTGGTCGTCAAGCCTTGTCGGACGCCGCCACACCAAGCCCGGCATCCCCAGGTCGGCGTCCTGGCGTCCTGGTCGGCGTCCCCTCACCCAGGACGCCTTCCAGGCGCCCAAGTCAGCATCTAGGCGTCCGGGACGCCGAGCAGACGCCCAGGTCGGCGTCCCACCTCCCAGGACGCCGAGCAGACGCCTAGCACGGCGTCCATGCACCCAGGACGCTGAGCAGACGCCCAAGTCGGCGTCCACCTGCTCGGCGCCCTCCAGCCGGGCGCCCCCAAGCTCCGCGCCCTTGCAGTGGCCCCCATGCCCACTGCTGCAGGTCGGCTGCATCTCCCCCGTACACCCGACCACGAGGTCGGCTCCGCCCAAGCGAGGACGGGGCCGAACACAACTCCCGTTGACACTCCCCTGCCGCGTTCACGCTTGGGCCCCCCCAGCCCACACGGCAGCACTGCTCGGAGAATAGCTCGGCGGCGTGCACACAACACACAGCACGCCGGTCACCGCACCAGCCATGCAAGAGGGCATGGCACCTACTGCTGCACGTCGTTGTCACCGTCGCCGACTTCAGCCAGGCGCACCTGGCCGACTGCGACGGAGCACCGGTTGAAGGCTGGGTAATGCAGCGCCTTCGTCAGGAAGTCGGCCGGCTGCTCAGCGGTCGGGATGTACTGCAGCGCAAACTTCCCCCGCTTCACCATGTGCTGCAGCCAGGCCTGTCGCCGCTCCATGTGCTTGAGGTTGCCCGTCAACCCCATGCCCTCGGCGACCATGATGGCCGACTTGTTGTCCACCCTCAGGACAGTCGGCTTCCCGGCGTCCAGCTGCCGGAACTCTGCCAGGAGGAAGCGGAGTCGGCGTCCCTCCTTGCCGGCTTCGACGGCCGCCACGTACTCCGACTCGGTCGACGAGAGCGTCGCGCACTTGATGCGCTGGCTCGACCAGGAGACCGCGGCCCCTCCGTAGACGAACACGTAGCCGCCCGTGCTCGTCCTGCTCTGCTTGTCGCCGGCGTCGTCGGCGTCCACGTAGCCGACCAGCTCCAGCGACTCAGGTCCACCGCCGAACTCCAGGGCGGTGTCGCGCGTGTTGGCGAGGTAGGCGAGGCAGCGTTCGACCTCGCGCCAGTGCTGGTCGCTCCTCACCGTGAGGCCGCTCCCCAGCTTGCTGCAGGCGAAGGCGATGTCCGGCCTCGTCGTCGTTGCCGCGAACTGCAGCGAGCCGACCTTCTGCCGGTACTCCTCCTCCTGGCGTTCGTGCACCTTCTCGTCATCGAAGGTGAGCTCGGCGTAGGCGTCGACCGAGACCGGCGTCTTCGGAGTGCGCCCGGTCTGCTCCTCGTCGATGAAGCGCCTACGCAGCTTGTCGGCGTAGCCCTGCTGGTGCAGCCACAGCTTCCCCGCCGACCTGTCGCGTACGATCTCCAGCCCGAGGTACTTCTGCACCGGCGAGATCTCGCGCAGCTCGAAGGCGGCTTCCAGCAGCTCCTTCAGCTCCTTCAGCATCGCGGCGCTGCTGCTGGCGGCCAGCAGGTCGTCGACGTAGACCAGCACCCAGCAGGCCACTCCGTCGTCGCCGACCTTGAAGTACAGAGCCTCGTCGACCTGGCTCTTCTTCCACCCGGCGCCGACCAGCACGTCGTTGAGCGCCAAGTACCACAGCAGCGGCGACTGCTTCAGCCCGTACAGGCTCTTCAGCAGCTTGCACACCCGGCCGGTCCCGTCGTTGAAGTAGTCCGGCTGCGACATGTACAGCACCCGGTCGAGCTTGCTCTGCAGGAAGGCGTTCTTCATGTCGAGCTGCATCAGGTTGAGGTTGAGCACGGCGACGATGCTGAGGAAGATCCTCAGCGTGACGTAGCTGCCCACCGGCGCAAACGTCTCGTCGTAGTCGGCGCCGTACACCTGCGTGAAACCCTTCACGACCAGCCGTGCCTTCTCACGCTCGACGGTGTCGTCGATGTTGTACTTCGTCGTCAGCACCCACCGGTTCTTCATCACGTTCACTCCCGGCGGGCGTTCGACCAGCTCCCACGTGCCCATGCTGATGAGGCTGCGGATCTCCTCCTCCATGGCGGCCTTCACCGCCGGGCCCTTCCAGCTCGCCAGCGCCTCCTTCACCGTCATCGTCGCGATGTCCCAGCGGTGTTCGGGGTCGGCGTGCATGTCGGGGTCGAGCTCTGGGAAGTCCTCATCTTCCTCGGCGTCGTCGTACAGGATATCGGTGTCGTCTTCGACGTTGTACACCGTGGTGAAGGCAGCCGGTGGGAGGCAGACATGGTAGGTTAGCCGCTCCGGCGGCCTCCGGACTCGTCCTGAACGCCGCAATGCAGGCTGCCCGGGGTCACCCTCCATATCGTCCTGCCCGGCGTCCGACCGCTCCCCTTCAGCTTCGCTGGCGTCACTGGCCTCGGCGTCCTGCTTCACCTTGGTCGGCTCGCCCTGCTGCACCTCGGTCGGCGTCCCGACAGAGGTCTCACTTGCGGGACGCTCCCCTGCCGACTGCCACGTCGCCGACTGCTTCTTGGTCGGCCGCGCTGCTGCCTGCTCAGCCTGCTGCTTCCCCGGCGTCCCTTCTGTCGACTTCACTTCCAGGCCGACTTGCGGGACATCACGTCGGCCTCCGGCGATGCTCTTGATCGGCGCCACAGGCGACGCCCCACTGCTCCCCTCATCGCCGGAGGCCGACGGCGGAGTCAGGCCACACAGGTCGGAGACAAGGGGAGGAGCAGGAGAAGGAGTGGAAAGCTCGACGAGCTCGGCGTCCTCATCAGCAAGCTCACCGACCTCGGCAAGCAGAGGGAGCGTTGCCGTCGAGGTATCCGTCGGCGTGGCCACCAGCGTCCGCCCCGACACCGGCCCATGCTCCGACTTCCACACCTCGAGCGACATGGTCTCGTAGAACACCACGTCCGACGTGGTGACCACCCGGTTGTCGGCGATGTCGAGGAGCTCCCAGCCCTTGCTCGCCTCCGACACACCGAGGTGAAGACCCCACTTGGCCTTCGGCTTCAGCTTCCCACCACGCTGCTGCTCGGGGACCAGGAACTGCGCCATGCAGCCCCACACGCGTGCCAGCGACAAGTCGGGCTTCGTGCCCGGCGTAGCCGACCGCTCTAGGCAGTTGCGGATCCAGACGGCTTACCGCAGAGCGAGGTGCCACCAGTGGTGCTGCACACCCATGTGCAGCAGCATCGTCCGCACCGACTCCACCACCGTCCGCATCTCCCGCTCCGCCATGCCGTTCTGCTGCGGGGTGTAAGGGCAGGTCAGGTCGTGGACGATCCCCTTTCCATCCATAAAGGCGGTGGACTCCTTGCCGAGGAACTCCCCTCCTCGGTCAGAGCGCAGCTGCAACACCGACTTCTTCGTCTGCCGCTCCACCAGCACCAGCCACTTCTGGAACTCCAGCAGCACGTCCGACTTCCTTGCGACCGGCTTCACCCACACGTAGCGGGTCTTGCGGTCCTTCAGCAGCAGGAAGTACAGGCTGCCATCCTTGGCAGCCACACGAAATGGCCCGCACAGGTCGATGTGCACGACGGCCAGGGCGTCCTTGATGTCGGAGACTTTGTCGGGGAAGGTGTGCCGCGCCAGCTTCCCACCGACGCACGAAACGCAAGGCGAGGCAGCGCCGGACGCCGACTTGAGGTCCAGCCCGGTGGCTACCTCGTGCTTCGCCGAGCTCAGGATGGTGTCCATACCGACGTGCGCGAGCCTCGCGTGCAGCCTGTCCGGCGTCGCCTTCGTCGCCGAGACGATTGCTCGGAGAGCCACTTCCTCCGCTCCAGGCGTCGCCGGGCACGGACGCAGGTCGGTGCAGAGAACTCGGCCGGAGTACGTTGCTCGACCGAGCACGTCGCCCGTCGCCGAGACGAGCAGCATGCCGTCGCCGTCCTCCTTCAGCTTCACGCCGTGCTCCTTCAGCTGGCCGGACGACAACAGGTTCGCGTGGACGCCGGGGACGTACAGCATGTCGGGGATGAGCACCCGCTTCCCGGCCTCCCCTTGCAGCGCAACCGTGCCCCGGCCCTTGACGTCTTGCAGCGCCCCATTGAAGCCGCGCACGTGCTTCACGTCGCCGCTCGGCCCCATGTCGACGAAGACCTCCTTCGTCCCCATCAGGTGGTGGGAGCAGCCGCTGTCCAGCAGGACCACCGCCGGGTTCGCCTGCACCGCTGCTGCCATCGCCTGGAAATCCTCACCGGCCTCCGGCGCTAGTGAGACGGTCGGCTCCACGACGCCGACCAGGGAGCATGACGCCGACTTGTCGTCGCTCCCCTTGCCGCCAGCAGAGGAGTCGGCGTCCTTCGCCGAGGTCGACTTGTTCGACTGCTTCTCCTTGCGCGGCTGGTTTCCTCGACGTGAACGACGGCTGGCCGACCTCCCGCGGCCTCCCTTGGCGTCGTCGTCGTCGGATTCGCTGCGGTCGGGGCACTCAAAGGAGAGGTGGTCGGGGCTGCGGCAGATCCAGCACTCCCGACGCCGACTTCCTCCTCCGCGACCGCCTTCCTTCGCCGACTTACCCTTGTCGGCGTCCTTGGCCGGCTTCCCACCTCCGCTACCACCGCTGCCGGGCTTGCCGCGCTGCCCTGGTCGGCTACCTTGCTTCGCCGGGGCGGCGTAGTTTGCCTGCAGCAGGAGCTCCGTGGACTTCTCGGCCTCCTGCATCGCCTCGTCCTGCAGGATGTACGAGGTGAGGGAATCCTCGTTGAGCGTCGCCCGTGTGCTCGGCGCCACCGACAGCCGCTTCAGCAGGTTGTAGCTGCTCGGGAGCCCCTTCAGGACGTGCGTGACATACGACGCCGTGGAGTACTGCACGCCGGCCATCCTCATGGTGGCGAGAAGTCGCCGTGCCCGGTTGCAGTAGTCCGTCGCTGTCTCCTGCTCGCCCATCCGCAGGTGCGTCATCTGCTCCTCGAGCTGGCCGATGTACAGGTCGTCGGTGACCTGGTACGTCGACTCGATGAAGTGCCACGCCTGGTGCCCGGCGTCAAGGTGCTCCCTGCACCACTTCAAGGCGATCTGCACGCCCGGCGAGCAGCACCGCGAGATGACCATGAAGGTCAGCAGCTGCACGGCGCGAAACTCCGCACGCAAGTCGGGGTAGTTTTCCTCCGGCGTCGCCACGGTCCCACGAGCGAAGCCGATCAGCCCGGCCATCTCCAGCTGAGGCTCGATCGCCTCCTTCCAGGTGAGAATGTCCGGTCGACCGACCAGCGGGGGGGTGACCTGGATCCTGTCCGGCGGAAATTTGAAGTAGCCGTAGCTCGGCGCAATCCCTTCCGCGGTCACGTGAGTCGCCGACATCGACGCCACACCACTTCGTCGTCCTCCGACGTAGCCCTGCGAGGTCCCTGCAGCCGCCGACGACTGCATCCCTCGCGCCTGAACGCCGCCGACTTCACCGGCGTGTATCACACCTCTCTGCCGCGATGTGCCTCCCGCACTGCTACCGACTTGGCCTCCACCGGCGTTGACGCCCACGTCGACGCCGCCCTCGGTGTTCACCGGTCGAGGAGAAGCTGGCCGAGAAGGGTGCTCCGTCGCCCACAACGAGCGGATGCCAGCCTCAACGACCGCCAGCGCGAGAGTTCCGTACTCATTCGCCGCGTGGCGTCTCCTCGCATCCTCCAGCCGTGCCTCCAGGGTGTCCACCACCCCGGTGTCACCATCGGCGCCTACCATGGTAACTATCGCAAAGCTGCCGGCCTACGCACACAATCGGGAAGTGCAAAGTCGGCTAGACTGAACTACGTCGCGTGTTCGTTCCACGCTCACCGCACCATGCGGAGATAACTCTAGCAACGGGAACTTGTCTACGGGGCAAGCACGTTGTGTGAGAGGGATCTCTGCGTTCGTTCACTTAGTCGTTTCCTTGTGCGCACACTGCTTGCTAGTTCACGGGGAAAATTGGCAAGAGTTCCACTAGGAAAAACATCATAATGAAAGTTGAGAATGATTGCAACAACATTGGCAACACTGACTACATCAGAGCTAGCTAGGCTGCTGGTCGACCTCCAGCGCAGCACGGTCGACCGCGTTCCAGCGCAGCAATGCTCGCACCGCTCCAGCGCTGCAGAGATGCGGCGTGCCAACGTTGCATGTCCACGGTGTGCCAGCGCTGCAGCAAGTCGGCTGCACAGCGCTGCAACCGCAGGACAACGGTGCACCTGCTTCGCAGGTGCGCGCGGCTGGTTGGCGTCCAACTCCCCGTCACGTGCCCAGCGCAGACATATCCGCTCGTGACGGCGCCTATCAGCCACGTCGACCTTGGAATACTACCCCCGAGGTCGGCCTCGCAGACTCCACCCCGGCGACGCTCGCACATGTCGCCCGGGTATCCCGGTCGACCGGGCAACCCCGCCTGGTCGTCCAGCCTTGTCGTACGCCGGCCACACCAAGCCCGGCGTCCCCAGGTCGGCGTCCTGGCGTCCTGGTCGGCGTCCGGGACGCCGAGCGAACGCCCAGGTCGGCGTCCCACCTCCCAGGACGCCGAGCAGACGCCTAGCACGGCGTCCAGGCACCCAGGACGCCGAGCAGACGCCCAAGTCGGCGTCCACCTGCTCGGCGCTCTCCAGCCAGGCGCCCCCAAGCTCCGCGCCCTTGCAGTGGCCCCCATGACCACTGCTGCAGGTCGGCTGCATCTCCCCCGTACACCCGACCACGAGGTCGGCTCCGCCCAAGCGAGGACGGGCCGAACACAACTCCCGTTGACACGCAGGCTCATCCTCCTCATCCGGGTCATAGCCGTGCGGTAGAATCAGCAATGCCTCCTCGGTCCCTAGCTGTTGCTCTGCTGCATCAGCTCCTGCAGTCAGCTTCATTGTTGCCATGCGGGTGCGTCCTGGCCTAGAGACGCTTGTCTCCCATCCCTTCATTACAACACCCTTTGGCTTCCTCCTTTGTGGTAGCTTAGGCACCTTAGCTTTGCCCTGCTGCTGCTCTCCTCCCTCAGATTCAGCAGCTTCCCTGATGCTACCACTAGTCTCCACATCACCTCCTCCATTAGCACGTGCCTCCTGCACCTTCTCTCCATCACCACCCTCTGCAGCTACCTCCTCTCCCTCCTCCTGCACACTAGGAGTCAGGTCCAGCTGCATGGTGATCTACTCCATCTCCTGTGATATCTTGGCCTCTGGCTGTGTACTTCCAGCCCCCATACATCAGGCCCTCAACAAACTTCACATCCCTGCTGTCAAACAGCACACCCTTGCGTGGTTCCCACAGCAACCATCCCTTGCTCTCGGCAGCCAGCCCCAAATGCACACACCAGATTGCGCTCGCCCCCAACTTACTACGGTAGGTCTTGGGGACGTGGGCGACTGCCATGCAACCAAACACCCTCAGCATGTCCACCGGCGGCTTCCTCCCAAGCCACCTCTCCAACGGCACCCACGAGTCATCCCCAACCTTAGTGAGCACCCTGTTCCTAGCGACGGTAGCTTGCCAAACAGCATGGGGCCACATCGAGTTGCCCAGCCCAGATTCTATGAGCAGCGCCCTAGCTGTCTCTAGAATAGTCCGGTTCGCCCGTTCTGCTACACCGTTGGACTGTGGGGTGTAAGCCGTAGTCAGCTCCCTCTGAATGCCCTGCTTCTTGAGCCAAGCCGTCATCTCAGCTCCAAGGAACTCACCACCCCGGTCTGTCCTGATCCGCTTCACCACACACTCCGCTTGCTTCTCCACGCACTCCGCTTGTTTCTCCACGAACGGCAACCAATCGTCCCGAATCGTGGAGGCGGCGTGATCTTTCTGCTTCAGCGGATACGCCCACATTAGCCTGCTCCAGTCATCCACTATGGTTAGGAAATACCGCTCCCCCTTGTGCCCTTGCACCGGCAGCGGCCCCACCAAGTCCATGTGGACCAGCTCCAGCGGCTTCTTGCTCCTGCCAGCCACACTATGGAAGGGGAAACGGGTGAACTTTGAGAGCAAACAGATTTCACAGTTTTCATCGGGTGGCTGTCCGTTCAGCTTCAGACCCTTAACGGCTCCATCCTTCTCCAGCTGCTTCAGCAAAGGCATTGCCACATGCCCCAAGCGTCGGTGTGCCGTTGCCCAATCCGTCTCCCCAGATCTGGCCGACACTTTCACACCAACCCCTCCAACGGCGTTGCATTCCCCCTGGGATGCAGACCCCTCTCCAGCCTGCCCCCCACCGTGCCACGCCAGGGCCGGCAGCTGCCACATAGATCTGTACACGTCCTTGCTCTCGTACAGATCCCAAAGCACCCGATTGCCCAGCTTCCCCTTATAAGTGCGTGCCCCATCCGTGTTGGTGTTCACCCCAGCCTTGCCAAGCTTATGGAGGGAGATAAGGTTGGCCTTCAGGTCGGGGACGAGGAGAACGTCGTGCAGCACCACCGGCTTGCCATCCGCTCCCTTAAACACAGCTCGTCCCGCACCAGCCACCTTCAACATGTGTCCAGAGGCGGAGCACACCTCATTGATTGGTGCAGCGCGTACGTCATCCAGCAGGTCCTTGCGCGGCGTCATCGTCCAAGCAGCGCCTGTGTCCAACACCCAATAGTCCAGGGGGTGCAGCTCTGCTCCAACTTTGGCAGAGGCGTCTCCTTGCTCCCCCTTGTCTCCCACATGGAAGAATTGGCCCACGGTGCGCTCCTTCTTCTTCTCCGCACCGCCGTTGCTCTTCAGGATGTTGTCGGACGAATCAGCGACCATGTTGGCGCCGTTTTTCTGGTTCCTCCGCGCGCCGCCATCCTGGTGACGATTCTGGGGGGTCCATCCATCGGGTTTCTTATAGCACAAAAACCAAGGGTGCCCTTCCTTCTCACAATACCAGCAACTCCCTTTCATTTTGCCACCAGCACCCGACTTGCCCCCACGTCCAGATTTCGCACCGCGACCCCAACCGATACCTCCTTGTTGGTCGTTGGAGTCGTCGTCCTTCTTTGCACCGCGTCCAGCACCACCGAAGCCACGTCCTCTGCCACGTCGGCTCCCTTGCATCCCGTACCCGCTGCTGCCGTCGTCTCCACCCCTCAGTTGGCGGCGACGGAAATCCTCCTCCAGAATCTTTGTCCGCACCCACTCGAGCGTCCACAAGCTCTGGTTCTGCGGCAGGCTCAATCCGCTCGTGAATTGAAGCCACGATTCTGGCAGCAGCGAGAGCATCTTCAAGCACTTGGTCTGCTCCGGGTAGGTGATTCCCGCGATCGCCAGCTTCGCGTAGAGGTCGCGCATCTTGTCCAAGATAGGTTGCACCGGCTCTCCCTCGCTCAGGCGCAATGCGGACAGCTCCCTCTCCATCATGAGCGTTGCGGCGACGGAGGTAGGGGCGTGCAGCTCCTTCAACACGGTCCACGCCTTCGGACCGCACTCAACCTCCGGCAGCAGGTGCATGACGTGATGACGCTGGTTCAACTCCAAACTCTGCGACATCAAGTAGTAGCCAGCCGAGGCGCGCTCGTCCCAATCTTCCTGCAGGGCGGGGTCACTCGGTCTAGGCTCCTCCCCAATCATTAGTTTCAGCAATCCAATCTGACGGAAGTAGAGTTGCATTTTCCAGGCCCAATCATCATAGCCCTCACCATTGAACTTCTCGACGGTGAAGTTCTTCAGCACCTCCTTGATCAGCGAGCCCTGGTTTGTTCGCGCTCCCCTTGGCGCTGAAACACCAGAATCTTGGCTGCCGCTACAATCTTGGGCTGAAGATTCACCAGCTACCGCCGAGGTGTTGCCCGCCATAGCTACCTTTAACGAGGATCACTATAACGCAGCTCTGATACCAGCTTGTTGGTGTAAGGGCCTAATAAACTCAAGCTATTATGACTTAATCAAACTTAAAACCTCTCCTCTGGGTCACCTCCAAGGGTCCCTAGGTGCCTGGCACAAGACCAGCCCCTATCCTCGGGTCCGAGTTTGTAGAGAGAGGAGTCAAGAAAGACTTAGCCAAAATAACAAGAGTACCTTGAACGTCGTGCAGCGTGCCGTGCAGACCGTCGATTGGATTAAGCTGAGAATTTGCTATATCGAAGAGCTCCAAGAGCTTTAAAATAAGCCAAGTTGCCTCGCGAAAAGTTCTGCCATTACGAAGTTATGGCTCGGACAGCGTTTGCCTAGCGTTAGAGTGCTAGCGTACTAGCGTTGACTCGGGTAGCATTCCGCCATCGAACCGCGTAGAAACGAAATTCCAGCGAGAAAGGAATTCGCTTGAATCAATTGACTATATTCAGGCAGAAGGAATAAATAATTCTAGTTAGCAAGGACCTTGGGAATCAACCTGGGAACAACCAGGGATGATCCCAAATAATTCCAAGCAACAGACCCAACCTGGCTGGACAAAACAGCAGGTGGTAGGTTGGAAAACAACCTCTGGTTCTGTTTTTCCAACCTGGGAAAACAACAACCAGGTTCAGGTTCTAAAAACAGAACCTGTTTTGTCTTTGCCCAACCAGCCAAATGCTGGTTCTGCTGGTTTCCCCTGGCCTTGTAGCATGCAGATACAGAGAAACAACATCCCACCCTCACCTAAATTGTACCCCTATAGTGCCTACCCTGCTACACTATAGTCAACCAAACATAACAGTACAATTTCGAGCTAAATAGAACAGAATCTGCGCAATCAACTCAATTGAACTGCAAAGCTTCCACCTTAGGTTCCTTTGCGAGCTCGTCCTTTCTGCTTGCACTGTTCATAACGCATACAATGTTGTGCCGAAGCG